CCAAATTCATCTGCTTTGTGTATACACATTAAAAAAAAAACTACCCTGGATAAGACAATCTAATGTAAAACATGTAAAATTTTCTGAATGGAAGCAAATGCACTGCATTGTGAAAAACTATCTTCAGATTTTAAGGCCATACTTAGAGGAGAGACGTTAAGGGAGAAGTGAGAAACTTCTATAGATGAAGTATTTCTGAGAAGCGATTGAAAGTATCTTGAGCAACTTAATGTTATTTAGGTTCAGTGGTAGAGGGCATTTTCCTTTACCAATTCAGTTGACCAAGGAGAGGGTGAGTTTGTGAATCACCGTGTATGATGGTGGACGTGCCACTTGCATTTTGTCTGGATGAAATTCTCAAAACAATGATATATAAGGGAGAAGGAGGCCCAGAGGATGGATGACATTGGTGGCTTTGGCACTGTGGTGACTTAAAATGGGTATATAACATTTGCCTGTTATAGCACTGATGATGACGATGATGATGATTAATAAAAAGACTCACTGGAAGACGTAAGCTTCTTTTTTTGCTGGTATGATGGAATCTTTCTATCACTATGGGGTGAAAGAAATCTAAGAGTGAAAATTCATGTGCAAGCAGCACCAAGGTAGCACAAATAAGGAAATAATCTTCCCCGTCTAACGATCTCCATGGTTCCCTTGCCCTTCTGTGTGGTTTTCACTCTGCTCAATTTCTGAGAGGCTGAGCTGCAGAAGACAAAATGCGTAACCCCTATTCCAGCCATCCCTGTCCTACATGGCTCTTCCCTTCTGAACTGAGCAGAAGGAACAATAAAAATGTCCTTTATTCACCTTTTGGCTCTCATTTCTTTTTTTCTTTTGGATAAGTGCATTAATTTAACAAACATTTATTGAAAAGCTACTCTGAGCTCAGCACTGGGTAATTCTTCACAGTACCTTCCATTGGGCAATACAGTGAATATTTATTTATTTTATTGTTGCCCATTTCAACCACCAGCACATAAGCTCCAAAAAAGCAGGAACTTTGTTTATTGTTTCATTGTCAAAAAAACAGTGTCTAGCATATGATATGCACTTAATATTTGTTGAATGAATGAAGAAATGGATGAATAGATGGATGGAAAGGGGATAAAGGATGAGTAAGATGGACTATCTTACCCTTGGGAATCTCACAACAGCTGGTGAGGGTAGTAATAGACACAAAAACAGATAATTATACAGCATTGTGGTAATTTGAGTGATGGAAATATCGCAAGACATTATAGAAACCCATTTCTCAGACTGGATTGGAGGTGAATGTGAAGAAAAAATATATAAATCTGACTCTAATATCAACAGTATTTGTAGAATTCTATTTTATTCACTTTTTCTTGTTTTCTCCCATCTTTTCCAACTCAATATTTAATGTCTAGACATGGCTAGACCTGCTCAGTAGCAAGAGTATGAAGTTAGTAATAGACATAGTTAATAGCTATTGAGTGCTGTATGTCATGCCTTTCACTAGTCAAAACATTTTTGTATTTTGACTCATGTAATTCTCACAACCACCCTCTGAGATAGTTACACTTATTATTCCCATTTTACGGGTGCAGAAACTGAGGCACTGAGAAGTTAAGTGATTTGTCCAAGGACACACAGCTAGCAAGTGGTAGAACAAGGATTGAATCCAGGCACTTAGTTCTCGATGTTCTTTGATCAGCGCTCGTAGGCTTTTTCTCCCTCTCGTTCTATCAGAATGTGCTTTCAGGACTTTCTTTACACAAGGGTATAAGTATCCAATAAGTTAACATGCTATTCACCTCATGAGTGTTTGCAAGAGCAGAAGCAGTAAGACAAAAGAATAAACCTCTAAGTGTAGAATCTCAGTTACCAGCTAATAGGAATATTTTGCAGGGAGTGGGGAAGGAATCTTTAAAAATGCTCCTTAACTCATACCGCTTTATCCATCCATTCATTTATCAAGTATTTAGTGAGTACGTAATAGGCGTGTCTCAGGTTGTATTCTCTAGAAGGAGCTACTGACATGGAATTTGGAGTCCAAGATATTTATTAGGGATCAACACCTGTGAGATAAAGGGAGTAGAAACAGAACCGGGCCAGGGGAGAAGTCAAATTACAAGGCAGGGCTGACAAAATCTCGGCTCACTTGGCTGGGAGCTCTGGAGTCAGAACTGCCCATCAGAATTGTCCTGGATCGGCTTTGGGCCTTTGTCCTCCATCACCGTTCCCCTCTCCTTGCTTGGTAATACTGGATGCAGGCTTCCGGAAAGGGCATGACCTCTGGTGAGGCATTTCTCTATCTACAGCTGAGGCCAACCTTGATGGAGGCCACAGATGGAGGCTGGCCACACTCCCAGCAGCTGGGCTGCAAGACGTTCCTCGAAGGGGCGTTTAGGTGGCACATCTGTGTCTACCATGGGGAAAAGGTAGGTAAAGAAGACACAGTCCCTTTGCTCAGCGAGAAATACTTCCATCTGATCCATCAATGGTTGCCTCTGACTGCTTTTCTTTGTTAATAATTTTGATTGTCCAAACCCCTAGATAAGGGGCTTTCCTGTTCATGGGCAAATAATAATGGTGTATTGAAAATAGCACAGATAGACCTGGGCTTGCCCTTGGGGAAGTCACTTTTCCTGGGTCTTTATTTACTTATATATATAATGAACATCACAAATATCCTTTGGAGAGAGTTCTAGAAATTAGACAAGGTATTTATAAATTTGCTAGCAAAGAGTTCTAATACTTGGTAAGTGCTCAACAAATGGCAGCTATTATTACTACCTCCTCACCCTCATTGGATTCATGGCTACCACCATCAGCCTTCTCTATATATCCATCGCGGTGGGCTTGAGTCATCTTTTCTGTCCTTTGTTTTTACCATAACGTATCTTCTCAAATATGTCTGGATCCTCACATTCTATTTCAAGGCTCTTTAGCTCTCTGCTTCTTCTGAGTTTACTTCTGTCTGTTTTTCCCGCCCTGCTGCTTATATTTGTATCTTTCTAGGAACAATCTCCTTAATGGTTCTACTCTATCCTTGAGTTTTATTTCCTTGGCTACAACTCACGTCTAGGAAGCTTGCAGCTGTTAGCTCAGCAGACATTCTTACACACTAAAACATCCTATTTTTTCATAAATTCCTCTGGGATGACTGGTAAAAAGCAGCACATTCTCATTGACACACATCTCTCATGATTCCCTCTTTACTATTATTAAATATCCTACAGCATATGTTTTCTACTTGGCTTACATATAGCATTCACAGAAATTCATTGCTAGGGACAGTGAACCATATAATTGTAAAGCCAGAAGTAATCTTAGAAACTTTTGGCCTCATCTGCTTCATTTAGAAGATGGGGAAATTGTTCCTAGAGAAGTTAATTAAGTTCTTCATATTCACACAGCTAGTTAAGCAGATGCTAGAACCCTGGTGATTAAAGTTGTTTAACTCTATGCTCTTGTCTGTTCTTGATTGTTCTGTGTCAATAATGCCATCTTAAGATTCATGTTCCTAGGGTATAAATACATGAGTCAACCTAGTCACTGGAGAATTACTGTTTAAGAGCTTAATAAACCTGTGAGGGTAGATGGTTCTCACCTACCTTCAGTTTTCCCAGTTGGTCATCCCAGACCAGGGGAGATGGGACAGTCTTGAGCAGGAAGCTGCCTTTGTCTCCATCCTCCCTTTTCCCCTGTCCCCACACTTCTACCAGGAATCCCACACCGCTAGCTAGGAGGTCTCTGTAAGGTGATGCATCAGGAGGAACTGGGGCCGACAGCTTACCTTCAGGTTCCCACCATCTTGAAATCCTGGATCTCAGATGTCAGTTTCCTGGGACTTTCCTTTAGAATGAAGGCAGGACCTTGTGTTGCAAGTCTCAGCGCAGCTGTGGGGATCTATAGGACCACAAGTGCTCCCAAATCTCTGCTCAGGGGCAAGACACACAATCTGGGCTGGAGACAGGGAAATAATCCCAGTTTTCTGCTCCCAAAGAAGTTTTATTGGGGCTTGGGTGGACACATTTTCATCATGTGAATAATCCCTGGTTGTCTGCTGTCTCCCTGAAACAGCTCCCAGAACCAGTGACTTCAGAGGGCTGTGGGGTTTTCCTTTGGTTCAAGCTCTGGGTCACGGTGCTCTTTGCTGACAGTTTAATGTATATGGAGAAAAATTCGGTTTATCTTGGGCCGTTTCCAAACCATGGACCTCCTTTGCATTCCTGCCCTCTTCCTGTGTCCTCTGTGGGATTTGCTGAGGAGGACGAGATGGTCTGGAGAAAAAAAAAGAGATTCTGTGTTTATTAATCATAATGATAAATTTGTCAAGTTGAGAAGGTCATCTTTAAGTCAAAAGCTACATCCCAAAGACCATGTAAGTGAGAACTTACAGGTTATCTCAGGTGTTTCTGAACAATGCATTTTAGGCTTACACAACTTCCTCTGAATAGCTCAGCAAGTTTCAAATTGAGTGTCCTTTCAGTGTAACGGTTATTGGGGAAATTTTTTTTTTAAAGATTGGCACCTGAGCTAACAACTGTTACCAATCTTCTTTTCTTTTTTTGTATGCTTTTTCTCCCCAAATCCCTCTAGTACACAGTTGTATATTTTAGTTGCGGATCCTTCTAGTTGTGGCATGTGGGATGCCACCTCAACGTAGCCTGACGAGCAATGCCATGTCCGTGCCCAGGATCTGAACCATCGAAACCCTGGGCCACTGAAGCAGAACCTGCGAACTTAACCACTCGGCCATGGAGCCAGCCCCTGGAAATTTTTATTTTCATTAATTTTTAGAGTCAGAGGATCAGCGAACATGCATTTTCTGTTGTTTCTTGAAGCCCAAACACAGTTTTGTTCAGTAATTGATGATAAATTGGTTTATATTATTAAGAGATTGCTGGAAATATAAATGCTATTTTGTAATTCTCAAAAGCCATAGAAGTTGAACTTATTCTTCTTCATAGTTCCTAAACAATAAGGTCTTTGCACACTTTCTCCTTGTTATAAACATCTGTTCACAGAGATGGAGTGATGATTAAGGAACAAAATGTCCCTGTCCTCATGGAGGTTAAAGTCTGGAGAGAAATCAGACATCGAACGGGCAGTTACGTACCAGGAAGACATCACCTCCTTAAGTACTGAACACTGTTGTTTAATAAGATTACAACTGAACACCAGGTAAGGATGATTAGAAGTGGCCAAAGAGAAAAATGCATATAGGAATATTTAAATCTGTGTTGAATACAGTGGTGACTGGTTGGCAATCCTAACTTAGGAGGATTGGAGAAGAAACAGACATTTTCACAAGGAAAGCTCTTGTTTTTGAGTTTGTAGTTTCTCCATTTCTCAAAAGAAACCTATATGATGGCCTGTGGGCTTGGGTTCAGAGCACAACTATTTAATCTGATTGTTCCTGGAGTGGTTGGGGAGTCACAGTGGCAGGGAGGGAATGTCAGCCTGGCTTCACTTTTGCTTGTACAGGTTCCAAACGCCGACTTCTTTTCAGAGACCTTTCAGACATTTGATTTAAAAATACAAATTAGTAAGTAAGAACAATAGAAACTTCAGGAAAAAAGACTATATCTGAATATCAAGAAGCCTGTATCAGTTGGATCTGCTAGCCTCTGGAATAGCACGTCTGAGGAAGTATGAGAAATCCTGTGCTTGATATCATTTCAAACTGGAGTCACTAATCTGACAATAAAACAAAAGTAGGGTCTGGCCTGGTGGCGTAGCGATTGAGTTGGTGTGCCCCACTTTGGTGGTCTGGGATTCCCTGGTTCAGATCCTGGGTACAGATCTACTCACTGTTTATCAAGCCATGCTGTGGCAGGCATCCCACATATAAAATAGAGGAGGATGGGCACATCTTAGCTCAGGGCCAATCTTCCTCAACAAAAAGAGGAGGATTGGTGGTGGATGTTAGCTCAGGGCTAATCTTCCTCAAAAAGCCCCAATAGAAATCATAGCTTGCACTAGCAAAAGAATAGACGAAAAGACTGAGTAAAGATTTTCTCCTCCAAGTTTTTTTCTGTAGTTTTCATACTTGACCATTGCCAGCATAGTCAGTATAATCATTTCCTAGTTTACTAGGTTTCTATTGGATATATATTCTCATAAACACATAGTGCAAGAACAAAAAGCAAGAAATTTTGAAATCATTACATGACAGTAAAATTACAGCGAGACATGTACTTGCTCTGCACACGTGGAACAAATATTCTCCGGAAGAAAGGAAAACATTGGGTGAGTTTTCAGTCTGGTTTAATTCCAGAAGCTCATGGTAGAGATACTGGCTTAGAGTCCTCTTTTGCTTTCATATTGATAGAAAAACTCAAAAGTGGCACCATGACACCAACTGTAAAATTGTAGCCAGGCTCCTCTGCCATCCCTCTACCCATCCATCTCCAGCACTTGGTATTATTTCTGAAATTCAACCCAGGATACAAAAGCCAGGATCACCACATTGTACACCTTCAGAATGCATTGGTTTCAACTTTTTAAAAGTTTAGATTCATCATGATCTACAGAATGAATGTAGGAAGATATTTCCTTCTCTATAGTGAATGTTAATACAAATAACTCTGTTTTCTTGTCCTTAGAATTTTTTACCAGAAGAAAAAGAGATGAACCTGACCAACATCCAGATAATATGAGTCTGGAATATGGTCTCATTAGCACAAGAAAGTTTTGGTATTTAACCAACTTAAAAAGAATCCAGTCTTTTAGGCGAATCAGGACATAATTCTGAAGTATCCGGACCGGGGTGTAGACTACAGTAGGCCAGGGCAGTTGCTCAAGTTCTAGAGATAGAGACAGGGCTGGACTTTTCAGGTCGGAAGCTCAGAGGCAGGGAACAGTCGGGCACCTGAGCAGGAATGGTCAAACGGGTCCTGGAGGCCGAGCTCAGTAGGCCCAGCTTCTGGGAGGCTGGTGGGTCAGGACACACTCAACGTGGGCCGTGCAAAGAAGAAAGAAGTAATTTGTTCTCAGCCTCCCTTTGAACCCCTGCTGTGTGGGTGGGCCAGCGCTTGCAGGTGTCTGCAGCCAGGAGGGAAGGGCCTGGCTGAGATTGGCTTTCAATCTTCTGTTACCGTCACCCCTTGTCTCAAGCTATTCAGCAATATTGCATCTTTAATGGTTAAGCTCTGGGGCAGGTGGCTATGTGTAAGGCTACTAATTAGATAAAGGGACTGATTTGCACCAGGATGCAGATAATGCATGGAGTTATGCCAAGACCCACAGCCCAGGAGTTTATGACCCTCAGCTACCATGGCGACAATGTCTATTCAGTCAGAAGAGTCTTTGTGTTGCGGGACAGGCAGAGCATCAGCTTCTAAGCGGTTCGAAACGAAACTGAAAATGGAAGAGAAGAGACACGTAGGCGAGAGAGTATTAGAGTTTCCATTTATACCCAAATGGGTAGATTATTCTGTGGGTTCACTTCCAGTTACTTGGTAGAAAAAACACGGCCTTTCCTTGAGGGCAAATGTGTGAGGAGCCTGAGATTTGGAAGGAAACACTGATTTGTGGATCTTTTCTTCTTGCACTGTCTTCACACTTCACAGTTGTCACCTCTACGACTTTGATTTCTTATTAGTGTTTTTTCCAAATGTTTTGTGTTGTGTTCACTAAGTAGGATATACTGCAAGCTGCAAGCTCAGGACTCTAGAAAAAAAGCGAGGTCTATTTTCTGGTTTTAACGTGTGTAACAGAATTATGGCATTCTAGAGCCGGAAGAGGCTGCAGAGATAGATGCTCACATGCCCAGGTTCATTGGGACTGTCCTGTTGTCCTGGTGTGTAATTAACAGCTCCCCCTTTTACCCTCAAAAGTGACTCACTTGGGCAATGATTATCCTACTTAGAGATTATTTTATCCAGCTCTTCGTTTTATAGACAAAGAAAGACCCAGAGTATTTTAAAAAGTTGACCACCAAGCTGAGGACTCAGAACTCTTAGACATGGAGAGAACTGTTAAAAAGGGGGTACATAAGAGTGAGTAACATGAGGGACTTTCTTTTTTAATTGAGGTAACATTGGTTTATAACGTTATATAAATTTCAGGTGTTTATCATTGTATTTTAACTTCTGTATAAACTACATCGTGTTCACTACCAAAAGTCCAGTTTTCGTCTGTCACTATACACGTTTGCCCCTTTACCCTTTTTGCCCTCCCCCCACCATTTTCCCCTCTGGTAACCACCAATCTGTTCTCTGTAGCTATGTGTCTATTTGTTTATCTTCCACATGAATGAAATCATATGGTATTTGTCCTTCTCCATCTGACTTATTTTTCTTAGCATAATACCCTCAAAGTCCATCCATGTTGTCTCAAATGGCAAGATTTCATCTTTTTTATGGATAAATAGTATTCCATTGCATATATATAACACATCTTCTTTATCCATTCATCTGGGAGGACTGTTGTATCTAGGCTGAATTGGGAAGAAAATAAAGTGAGAAAGAGGCTGACAGACTGGGAGAAGCAAGAGAGGGAGGGGTCAGGCACAGGATTGGAGAAAGAACAGACAGATTAAGAGTCATGGAAATAGGGAACTGACAGGATAAGAAGTTGTGGTTAGAGACTGATGTTGAGTTTATAACTTCAGATGTGGAGCATTAATAGCATGGCCAGGGGTTGGGGAAGCTCCAATAGGAAACAAATGACATGCTAAAGTATGAACTAGAGAGAGTTTAATAAAGGGATTGTTTACAGAGCAGTTAACACAAAAAAGAAAAACAAAGGATGGTGATACCTGCAGAAAATAGCAGTGACAGAAAGTCAAGCCATTTTCACCCCTGGGCCTGAAGAACCAAGGAGGAAGCTGGTTGGTGGTGTAGCCATGGGAGAGCTACTGCTCCCAGGAACTCTGGCCATAACTGGATGACTGCACCTATTGCCAAAAACTTGGCTGGAAAAAGAAGTGTGAGGATGGGATCAGTGTCTCCTCCCACCCTTGGATCTCCTGCTAGGGGCTTCTGTTGGTTAAACCAAACAGAAGGCAGAAAGAAGCAGAGAAGCACTGAATATGGATCTGATGGGCAAGCAGGAAAAAAATCAATGCTTTAAAGAATTGTAAAAATAGATAATTGCAGCAGTTGTCTGTAAACATTGGCTTCATCCAGGATGACAGTAAGATGTGGGGTGGAGAAAAGATGTAATATTCTCTCCCAGAAGTTTGTATATATAATATCATTCTGAAGAACTATAATATATGATAACTGATTCTTAGAAAGATGACCAAGAGTCAATCTAAAATTCTGAAGTCCTGTAAAAAGTAAAATATATTCAGATAGTTTTGGAGTTATCTGTATTTTGTATTCCTATTATTTACAAATTATAAATCTTTGTGTAGGCCATTATAGAGTAAGGGACCTGATATACATTTCACCTCAAACACCTAGAAAACCAGAGAAAATATATGAAGCAATGGTTTTCAGACATGGTCAACAGGAAGCTCAGGAGAGTGATCCCTAAAAGAAGGAGAATAATGAGGAAAACTCTATGATTTCCAAAGTTTACTGCTTGGGAGTATTTTCCAGGCTGTAACCTAGAGAAGGCAACCCAAAGAGAGTTTGGACAATTTGCTGAATTAAAAAGACACAGTTTGCAGTTCAGAGTTTTCAGAGGAAAATATCAGAAAAGAGTGAACTACAGAGTGAGAAAGAATTCTGGAGATTTACAGAGGGGTTCCCTCAAGTCTTTGACTGAATACATTTATGAGCATGCATATGAGCAAACTACTCCAGGCTAGGGAAAGCATTATTGTAAAGGAGTAGGTAGGACAATACAGGAAGCTTAGAGAGACTGGGAATAGTTTAGATTTCCACCAGCCAGAGTAGAATGACCTCCTAATACATGGAACATTAGGTAGAGTCCTTAGAAAGTACCAAATTAGCTGTAGATGAAAGCCTGCTCTGGACGCACCCTAACATATTTCAAAAGAGAGTATTGATAGAATCAAACTGATTCAAAGTAACAAAACCATGTCCCAGAAAAAGCTTCACAATGTTAAAAGAATGCAACAAAATCTAGCAGACAAAAACATAATATTTGCTAAGTCTGTCATACACACAAAAAGATTATCAAACATTCAAAGAAACATGAAAATATGACCCATAAGGAGAAGAAAAATCAATCGCTGAAGACAAACTCAGAAATGACTCAGAAGTTAG